GAAACACAAACACGACACTGCAATTCAGCCACGGACCAGCAGAGGGCAGTAATTGAACCTGAAAACTTCTGATAAACTCAGCATTAAGGTCTAGAAGGGATACAGCTGCGGATACTAAATATCATAATGACACTCTACAGTAATAGTTAATATTTGTACATTACTGTAAGGGGTAGATATAGGGTTTGTATAGAGGTAAACGTTAATAAAATACAATTAAATGTGTAATTAAATAAATACTATGAATAATATTTGTCGTAATTACTGTTTTACATTACTCTGATGGTTGGATTTATGGCTGGGGTAGGGGTAGTCGTTAATAAAATACAATTTAATGGGTAATTTAATAAATAATATGAATAACACTCAGCATAATAGTTTTACATTACTGTGAGGGTCGGGTGAGGATAGATGTTGATTAAATACGATTTAGAGTGCAGTTTAATAAATAATATCAATATACTGAAAAATCCAGCTTAAACCAGCCTACGCTGGTTGGCTGGTTTTAGCTGGTCGACCAGGCTGGTTTTAGAGGGGTTTTGGCTACCCATTTCCAGGCTGGTTTCCAGCCATTTCCAGCCTGGTCTTAGCTGGTAAGGCTGGAAAATAACCAGCTAAAACCAGCTAAAACCAGCTTGACCAGCCTAGCCAGGCTGGGAGTCCAGCCAAAACCAGCTATGTCCAGCTTAAACCAGGCTGGTCAAGCTGGTTTTAGCTGGATTTAGCTGGTCATTTTCCAGCCTGACCAGCTAAGACCAGGTTGGAAATGGCTGGAAACCAGCCTGGAAGTGGCCAAAACCCCTCCAAAACCAGGCTGGTCAACAGCTGTTTTTTTAGTAGGGATAAACCTCAGTTACGTAAAAGCTTGTTAGGATGGGAGATGCTCGACCAGCCTAGCCAAGCTATGAACTCAGCCAAAACCAGCTATGTCTAGCTTAAACCGGCTGGTCAAGCTGGTTTTAGCTGGTTATTTTCCAGCCTGACCAGCTAAGACCAGCCTGGAAATGGCCAAAACCCCTCTAATACCAGCCTGGTTGACCAGCTAAAACCAGCCAACCAGCGTAGGCTGGTTTAAGCTGTTTTTTTCAGTATATTGATATTATTTATTAAACTACACTCTAAATCGTATTTAATCAACATCTATCCTCACCCGACCCTCACAGTAATGTAAAACTATTATGCTGAGTGTTATTCATATTATTTATTAAATTACCCATTAAATTGTATTTTATTAACGACTACCCCTACCCCAGCAGTAAATCCAACCATCAGAGTAATGTAAAACAGTAATTACGACAAATATTATTCATAGTATTTATTTAATTACACATTTAATTGTATTTTATTAACGTTTACCCCTATCCAAACCCTATATCTACCCCTTACAGTAATGTACAAATATTAACAATTACTGTAGAGTGTCATTATGATATTTAGTATCCGCAGCCGTATCCCTTCTAGACCTTAATGCTGAGTTTATCAGAAGTTTTCAGGTTCAATTACTGCCCTCTGCTGGTCCGTGGCTGAATTGCAGTGTCGTGTTTGTGTTTCCACCTGCAGGGCATCTCTTATATTTTCATCCCAGCAGAAGCACGAGACTATGTGATGCTTGCAGCTGCTGCCCGGGGTGTGCCTGTGCTCTCTGGGGTGGATAAAGACAGCAGGTGGGTGTAGTTATTTAGTTTATGGTTATTTCATTGATTGACTGAATGTGAAGTGAATGCAGTATGCATAGTAAGCAGCAGGCGGCGCTATATTCCTGCTATCCTGGAAATGAGTGGCATTTTTGGTATTTGTGAGCCTGAAGCACAAAGGCGCTGATGTTGGACAGGTATATTTTTTTGGCAATTGACAAATATACATTGTTTGGGTTAATTTGTTTGGGCAAAAACCTTCAAATATTAAGTAAAGGTAATGCTCCATGAAGATATTTTGTATTTTTTTTTACAGTAAATATTCATTCATTTAAAAAAAGAAGAATATGATTGGCTAAGATTGGCGATGAAATTAGAAATCAATCAACCAAGCTTCATTAAAATAATAAATAAAAAAAAGCGAAACGATCACTGATAACATACTCAGATTATAAATGAAAGTCGTCCCATGTAAAGCAGTTTATTAACATTCCAGGGTGGGGTGTATTTCTTGTAATTATAATAATAATTTTTATTATTATATGCCTGACACTGGAATGACAACAGGGAAGAACTGAAAAATAATTGAACATAATCACACAACTAGACACTTTGATTAGTCCAACTTACAACAAATTAGACTCATTATTTTATCACGTTAAGTGGGGGTTAACCTAGGCAGTTGTTATTAGAGATTATAACATGGCTAATAGGAAATTCCTATATACTGAGCAACGTAATAAACTGTTTAAAAAGATCTGTAAATTTGCAGTTTTCCATATTTTGTGATTTGTGTTTTTATTTCCCCCATTTATTTCTGCTTTTTGAATTGCTTTATGGGACATTGATCTTTCCTCCAACAACTTTTATTCTTGAAAAGATGGAAAGATGACTTTTATGAACATTTCTTACAGTTTAAAGTGATACAGTAGATTATCAGGGTTGGTGTTGTATATGATGATACAAAAACCTTGTAATAAACTCCCAGTACTTTTTCTGTTATTTTAAAGACTTATTTCTCTAGATATTATTTTGTAAACAATAAATAAATATCAAATAATGCACATCTAACTCAAATAATATTGGTATTGGCCAAAGCTTTATGTTGATATTGGTATTGGTATCTGTATTGGTAAAGAATATTAGCAGTGCACCACTAATTCAATTAATATTGGTATCAAAACTTTATGTTGAAATCGGTATCGGTATTGGTAAAAAAATCCTATTGGTGTACTCTTAATTCAATTAATATCAGTATTGCCCAAAGCTTTATGTTGAAATTTGTTATCTGTATTGGTAAGAAATCCTATTGGTGCATCCCTAAGTCAAAAATATCGGTATTGGCCAAAGCTTTAAATGGAAATTAATATTGGTAAAACAATTAATTGATTGGTAAAAAAAAATCCTTTTGGTGCACCCCTAAATCAAATAATATTGGTATTGGCCAAAGCTTTGTCGAAATCACTATTCTTATTGGTAAGAAATCCTATTGGTGCACCCCCAAATTAAAAATATCGGTATTGGCCAAAGATTCATGTTGAAATCGATATCGGTATTGGAAAAAGTTTTATTGGTGCACCCCTAATTCAAATAATGTTAGTATTGGCCAAAGCTTTATGTCGAATTTAGAATCAGTATTTGTAGGAAATCCTATCGGGTCACCCCTAAATCAACCACTAATTTAAACAATATCTATATTGGCCAAAGCTTTATGTTGAAATTAGTATCGTTATTGGTAAAAAATCTTATCGGGCTCTCTAATTCAAATAATATCGGTTTTGGCCAAAGCTTTTTTTATTGAAATCACTATCTGTATTGGTAAGAATTCCTATTGGTGCACCCCTAAATCAAAATTATCGGTATTGGCCAAAGCTTTATGTCAAAATTCATATCTGCATTGTTAAGAAATCCTATCGGTGCACACCTAAATCAAAAATATCGGTTTTGGCCAAAGCTTTATGTTGAAATCAGTATTGGTAAAACATCCAACTGATTGGTAAAATATTATATTGGTGCACCTCTAATTTTAACAATATCTATATAGGCCAAAGTATCAGTATTGGTAAAAAATCTCATTGGGCTCTCTAATTCAAATAATATCGGTATTGGCCAAAGTTTTATGTTGATTTTAGTATTGGTATTGGTAAAAAATCCTATCAGTGCATCCGTAATTCAAATAATATCGCTATTGGACAAAGTTTTCTGTCAAAATTGGTATTTGTATTGGTAAGAAATCCTGTTGGTGCACCCCTAAATCAAAAATATCGGTATTGGCCAAAGCTTTATGTTGAAATAAGTATCGGTACTGGTAAAAAAAATCTTATCGGGATGTCTAATTCAAATAATACTGCTATTGGCCAAAGTTTTATGTTGATCGGTATTGGTAAAAATCCTATCGGTGCACCACTAATTCAAATAATATCGGTACTTGCCAAAGCTTTGTGTTCAAAGTGGTATTGTATTGGTAAAAAAATTCAGTGCACCCCTAATTCTAATAATATTGGTACTGGTCAAAGTTTTAAGTCGAAATTGGTATCGGTATTGGTCAAAATTCCTATCGATGCACCCCTAAATCAAAAAATTACTTTGCGTCCAATTAAAGGCTTTCTGCCAGATTTAGAGTTTGGGTTTAACATTTCATTTTATTTGATTATTATGCCAGGGCCAGTCAGATTTTTGGATACAATCCTGAAATACGGCAGTTGAAGATGATCCATCCCAGCTTCATTCATTACGTGACTCAAAGGTGAGGGAGATTTCCCAGACATGTAGTCTAAACACAAAGTGTTTCTCTCCTGTAATGAAACGCTATGCTATCATTGACTGACAGGTTTCTGAAATCACCATGGCTCGTTCTCTTCAAAGACCTGTACATGCCCAGCACCGGTGCCATGATGCTGATGACTGCTTTACACTCCTGTGACCAGGTCAGTGTTTAGTATTATCAATAAAACAGGATTATACATTAATTTTTAATGAAACTTTTCTAATGTTTTTAAAGGGATTGTTCACTCAAAACTGATAATTAATTTACTCACTTATTCAAAACCTGTTTGAGTTTTTCTTCTTCTTATGCATTCAGACGTTAATGTCCAAACAAATCTTTACATAAGTTTATGCTATAAAAATACACATTACATTACATTTATGGGGATGGAAACCTAGCTAATCGTTACAAGTTTTCAACATTATTCAAAATATCTTCTTCTGTGTCCAACAAGACAAATAATCTTACCACATTTTACACTTCAGGACGAATAAATGGAGAGATAATCTTAATTTTCGATTGAACTATCCTTTTATTAAGCTGTTTTAAACATGTGAACACTGGTTTATCCCTCAGGTTTCTGCTTATGGCTTCATCACAGACAATTACAAAGACTTCTCAGACCATTATTATGACAGGGTGAAGAAGCCTCTGGTCTTCTATGCCAACCATGACATGGTGATGGAGAAAAATCTGTGGAAGACGCTGCATTCTCAAGAGCTTTTGTGGCTGTATCAGAGAGAAACAAAGAAATGAGCCTTACGAAATGTTAAAATACCAAACAAGTATTTTACATTAATCTGTTCATTTAAAGATTTTGGGCTTCTCGTGTATCTTTTAGAGCAGCGGGTGTCCAATCCGCCTCTATAAACTTAGAAACGAAAGTTAACATGGTGCCTTAAAAATGTGAGTCAACTCAACTTGTTTCAGCTCAAAGCGTTGAGTTTTAAATGTTATTTAACTAATTATTTAACTTTAACTTCATGTTGCTGGTCTACCTAACATGTTCAAGTGTTAGTGTGACAAATTTGCTATTTTACAAGCTTTAACATCGGTTCAAAAACTTCAACTAACTTCAGTCACAGGCTTTTCTCTCAAAAAATCTCTCAAAATCTCAGCAAAAAAAAAAAATCATTAAACAACAGCACATAATATTAGACTAGATATTCTTTAAGATGCTAGTATTCAGCTTGAAGGGACATTTAAAGGCTTAACTAGGGAAATTAGGGTAAAGTTAGGGTAATTAGGCAAGTCATTGTATAACAGTGGTTTGTTCTGGAGACAATCGAAATAAAATTTTGTTTAAGGGGGCTAATAATATTGACCTTAAAATGGGTTTCTTCAGAAGAAAAAATATTATAGGAAATTCTGTGAACAAATTCCTGAATCTGTTCAGCATCATTTGGCAAATACTTCAAAAAGAAAATTCAAAGGAGAGTGAATAATTCTGATTTCAACTGTACCTAAAACAGGTCCATTTATGGTCCATCCAGGACAGAGTTTGGACACTCCTGCTTTAGAAGTGACATGATTGAGATGGAAAAAGGCCCCAAAAAAATTAAACTGAAATACATGAAGGATTTTGAGTCTGGAGACTACTCTTGAGTTCCTCAGGGTTCGGTGTTTGGACCGCTCCGGTTCAGTCTGTCTATGCATCTAATGAGTCTAATAATCCTGAACAATAAAACCACATATGATAGCTATTGTAGCACCCTTAGATTTGGATGAGCACTATAAGTACCACAATATATTTACAGGGATAGCTTAATGAAGGATGAGGGAGTTGAACAATAAACTGATTTAATGCAGAAAACACACAATAAACAATCTAAACATGAATGGAGTACCTTAATAAGGAAATAAAATAAATGAGATGAAAAGAAAGAACGTAAAAAGCTTTAACATTGGTTTAAAAACTGCAACTAACTTCAGTCACAGGCTTTTCTCTCAAAAAAATCTCTCAAAATCTCAGCAAAGGGTCAATAAACAACAGCACATAATATTTGACTAGATATGTACTAGTATTCAGCTTACAGTAACATTTAAAGGCTTAACTAGGGTAATTAGGGTAAAGTTAGGCTAGTTAGGCAAGTCATTGTATAACAGTGGTTTATTCTGGAGACAATCCAAAACTAATATCGCTTAAGGGGGCTAATAATATTGAGCTTAAAATGACTTTAAAATATTTAAAAACTGCTTTTATTCTAGCCGAAATAAAACAAATAAGACTTTCTCCAGAAGAAAAAATATTATAGGAAATACTGTGAAAAACTCCTGAATCTGTTAAACATCATTTGGGAAATATTTGACAATTAAAAAATCACAGAAGGGCGAATGATTCAGACTTCAACTGCATGGTCCATCCAGGAGAGAGTTTGGACAGCCCTGCTTTAGAAGTGACATGGTTGAGATAAAAAAAAGCCCCCTAACCCCCCCCCCCCCCACCCCCCCCAAAAAAAAATTGAACTCAAACAGTTATATGAAGGATTTTCAGTCTGGAGACTACTCTTGAGTTCCTCAGGGTTCAATGTTTGGACCGCTCCGGTTCAGTCTGACTATTTATCTAATGAGCCAAATAATGCTGAACAATGAAACTGCATACGATAGCTCTGCTTACAAAAGCCCTGTAATTTGGCTTCTCATCCAAAATGTCTACAAAAAGAGATTTTGTCTTGTTTCTAGTCTAAATATCCAAAGATTTTTAAATCACGAAGCAAATGTTGTCTTGTTTTAAGAAATAATGAATCAAAATTAAGTGAGTTTTTCCTTAAAACAAGCAAAACATTATGGCAAAACATTCATTCATTCATTCATTTTCTTGTCAGCTTAGTCCCTTTTTTAATCTGGGGTCGCCACAGCGTAATGAACCGCCTATGTCAGGGGTGTCAAACTCAATTCCTGGAGGGCCGAAGCCCTGCACAGTTTAGTTCCGACCCTGCTCCAACACACCTACCTGTAGGTTTCAAACAAGCCTGAAGGACTCAATTAGTTTGATCAGGTGTGTTTAATTAGGGTTGGAACTAAACTGTGCAGAGCTGCGGCCCTTTTGGAACGGAGTTTTACACCTGTGGCCTATGTCAAAACAAATAACTAGATTATTTTGCATACCCCATTGGCAGAATGTTGCAGTGTCGAGACTTTTCTTGTGAAAATACTCAACTGAATACAGATTTAGGCAAGATTTTAGTTCTGATTGAACTGTATCTAAGCACTTTACAGCACACAACAATGTACTCCTAGACCAGGGGTGTCCAAACTCGTTCCTGGAGGGTCAGTGTCCTGCAGGGTTTAGCTCCAACTCCCTTCAACACACCTGCCTGGAAGTTTGTAGTATACCTAGTAAGACCTTTATTAGCTTGTTCAGGTGTGTTTAATTAAAATATGCAGGACTCTCCAGCACCGAGTTTGTGTAACGAATATGGCAGCTTACCATTCATCCGCCCACCAGAGGGAGCTCTCTCCCGATTATTGACTGGGTACTTCCTCTGTGGTACTTCCTGGTAGCCACCATATATAAGCACACTGCTTATGTGTATTCATTGCGAAGTATTGCCAGTTTCACTGCCTACTAAGCGTTTTTCCTACTGCTATTTCTGCCATTGTGTTATGACCTTTTTGCCTGCTCTTTTGACTACTGTTTTTGGATTTTGGACTCTGCCTTGTTTGCCTTTTTGGACTGCCTCTTTGTTTGCTTATCGTTGCCTGGTTCATGATCACGATTCTGCCTATTGTTTGATACTAGTTGTTTGTTTAATAAACCTCCAGCTTTTGGATTCAATCCGCCTCCATGTCTTCACCTACGGCTCCCTCACAGAATACTTCGCCGAACATCAATCCAGCGGAGGTTTCTAATTTACAAGCAGCTTTCAATTATCAAAGCGAAATGCTATCTGGGTATCAGGAACAGTTGATGCATTTAAAGGAGGCCAACGATCGTCTCACCCAGTACATCCATTCTCTCCCTGCTCCTCAAAGCTCACCGGTAAGACTAGCATTACCTGATAAATTTGATGGTTCGCCAGAACTTTGTCGTGGCTTCATTCGTCAATGTAAAGTCTTTTTTACTAGTCAGCCGGAAACCTATGCTCATGATACTAAGAAATGTGCTGTAATGATGTCCTTATTAACCGGACGAGCTTTAGACTGGGCCTCAGCTGTTTGGGAGAGTGATTTACGTATACAGTCTTCGTTTAACCATTTTATTTCTCAACTCAATGAAGTTTTTGGTTATCCTGAAGGAGGACAAGACATCTCTGAACAATTACTAGATCTTAAACAGGGAAACCGCACTGCTGCAGATTATGCTATTGACTTTCGAACACTAGCTGCACAAAGCGGTTGGAATGATGTGGCTCTCAAGGCTGTATTTAAACGAGGACTGAATGCACAATTACAAGCTGAATTAGCATGCAAAGCAGTTGATCTGTCTTTTAATGAGCTCATCACTTTAGCCATTAAAATAGACAATCTTATGCGCAACACTCCACGCTCACGCCGGGTTTTACAAATCAAATCTGAACCTGCCATGACAAGTCATGATGCCCCAGAACCCATGCAGATTGCCTCTACCCGCATCTCCTCCAACGAGAGGGAACGACGGCAGCGGGAGAATCTATGCTACTATTGTGGAGGTGAAAATCACCAAAATGCTGCATGCCCTCTCAAGACCAAGAAGAGCCATGCTCCACAATATCATGTGAGTACCATTGAAATTTCCCATCGCCAAAATTTTCTTTTGGAATGCAGAATTGAATTTGATACTGCTGTTCAATGTATTTCAGCATTAGTAGACTCTGGATCAGTGGTTAACATCATCAATCAAGAACTCACGGACAAACTCAAGATTCCTACAACTCCCTGTGTCCCAGTAATCAACATAACCACAATAGACAATGGCCCTATTGGTTCTGGAATTACTGCTACCACTGCACCAGTGTCTCTCCAAATTGGACTATTTCACAAAGAAGCCATCACCTTCTATGTAGTCCCTTCATGCAAGTACCAAATGATATTGGGCCATCCTTGGTTGGCCGTTCATGATCCTATCATTTCATGGAACCATGGTGAACTCACTCAATGGTCAACTTACTGTATTAACAATTGCCTA